TAACAGAAAGTAATATAGCTTTACTGGTAGTAGTCAAACTGCCCTGAGTTGCTTTAGTTAAAAAGGTTTGGCCACAAAAGAGGCAGTAGACCAAACAGTAAAACTTTATCAGATTTGTTCCATTCTAATCACTGAGAAAGAAACAGCAAAAACAAAAACAAAAAACTCACACAAGTAAGACCATTAAAAGAAAAAGGAGAGGAGCTATTAGTACATGCCAATTTATAAATGGCAAGTGATTCATGCATTAAGAAATAGGGGTAGAGGAACACTACAGTGCTAATATGAGAGCCTGCATATTTACAAACCCCAGACATTTCATTTCAGTACAGTAGAACTGCTACCTTTAATTCCTTCTCACTGCCTAGAATGGGAAACTTTTAGCAGATATGATTACTGTTGTCTCTCAGGGACGTTCAAATCACTGTAATCTGCTTAATTTTATAATATATCAGTGTTCAAAGTTCACAGAAGTACAAAAAACATTGTTTCAGGGGGAGAAGGGAGCAATTCTTTATCATTAGCCTGAGGAGTTAAGGGAGATAATGTAATGCTGATTGAGACTTGTGTCAGAATTTAAAAAACAAACAAACAAACAAAAAAATCAAACCAACACTTATTTTCTAATGCTTTTAACAAATATTTTCTGTTTTTCCCACTGAAAGACCACAAGGCAAAATATGAAGAGAGAAAGAAGGAAAAAGCTTTCAGAGTTTTGGTTAAATCATATTAAAACAACATATAAATGTACCATCAGGAATAATGTTAGATTTATATCTGCATTTCAGGGAAATCAAACCCCCAGAGGTCAAAGAGTTTGCTAAGTGGGTGGGGGAGTGAGAGAACATTTTAAAAAATCATCCTCTAATTTGGAGCCAAGGTCAGTGATTTAAACTTTAATGCTCATCTTGAAACCGAACACACAATGAGCATAGGTGGAACCATCCCAACTAGCAATTACCCAGAGCCAGGCAAACAACAGCAGAAGTAACTATTGCTGTCAGTGAATTAATGTTTTCAAAACATAACATCAACCCTGCCAGTTTGCTAGCCTCTGTTCACTTCGGATGGTGATAACTCGCTAAGCCACAATACTCAGCCGCATGTCTAGCATCTAGCTATATCAGGAAACTGCAACTGTTACACATTTGATGCCACCAGGCAGTTTCATCTGCAGCCAAGGCATTAACATTTAGTTCCCCTTCACTTCAGGATTCAGTCTCGCAGTCCATGATAAAAATAAAAATTAAAAAAAATGCCAGAGGAGCTGGCTACCATTTATATCGGAAGTTCAGTACCTCTTTACCAGCGAACACTCATGACTTCATCCTTGCACATATGTGGGCAAGTATCTTTTTCTGCAGAATTAAGCAGTCTTGTAGGAAAGGGGAAGGGAGGAAGGGGAAGAAGCAGAGCATTCTAAATGACTGCATTTCAGGAGATCCGACTAAACCTTCCCCAGCATGCAGTGGACCTTGTTTCTATGCAATCATATGGTTCACTACTCATTTTTTAACCCAAATTTAGCTCTACCCACACAAACAGGTGCTGTCTTAATGCTTATTACTGTAAAATATTGACCTCAACATGATGAGTCATAAGTAAGAGTTTCTAGAAAAGTTTACTAACTATATTAAAGAATCCTATAACCTCTCAAGTTACCACAACAGACAACTATTCTGGGGTCTCTTTGCTTCATTTTTGTCTCACATTTTGTATTTGAAATTGCAGTACTAGCCTGTAACCTTCCACTTTGGTAACCTAGGCACTCTTTGTATGACACTTCTTAGGTACAGAGGAAAGTAGATAGACAATTGCAGTGCTGTGAGAACAACTTCAGCTCTGCAACAGCAGCAGAAGACTAATTTCCTTGAACATTTAAGAAAAATCAAAGCCACTTATGGAAAGGAAGAAACAATACATTTCATTTGTAGCTGTCAGCAAGTGAAAATGCTATGAGAATTTTACCACACTTCTTTTCAATAGGCTGCTTTAAAATAATGCCAATATCAATTATATATTTTAGTGAACCCAATCCAGCACTCAGTGAGTTGAGGCATGGGAGGTGAACTATAACATCTATCTGAAAGGAAGATTCATCTTGTGGTATACTTCTCCAACACAAGCTCAAAGGCATTGTTTCTCTGGCTGTTTAGCAGAGTGTGATTCAAGGAGGAACAAATGCTCAGTGAGAAATAAGCAAGCAAGGAACTGGGGCATCTCTCAGTACAGTCAGATCACAAACATGGATCTGAGGATTTAACAGTCCAATATATTATTTGAGAAAATAAGTTCATGCTTGAGCAATTAAAGTTATTAATATTCCAAAAACAGCAGAGAGGGAACCTATACTCGTTTTTCAAAAACACTTTCTAAAATACAGAGAAAAAGCCTATTACTTTTTACACAACCTCAGTCCATTAACTACACTGGAGTTCCTTTTCTGATATGCAGTGTTATCAGAAGTTAGCAAATATTTCTCTAATGCCTAAGGGTGAATATTTTTGTTAAATAAACGGACAGTTTACAATACAAAACTTGGTTTATCTAAATCAAATGAAGACTATTTTCTCACTAATTGGAATGTATGAAGCAGTTGATATTCCTCTAAAAAATCATATCAGACTGTAACCCTTATCACTGATTGAGGAAGAGTGTTTTGTTGGCTTTTTTTTTTTATTATTATTATCTAGATTATTCATTAATTCAGAGTTAATATATACAAGGGACTATGAGCACTTGCTAAACCTCTGAGTTCCACCAACTTCCAATTTTGAGTTCATCTGTTTTCAAAGCGGCATTGATGTCTTAAGTTGATCCAAAAAAATCAAAGTGATACAGTAACTATTATGGAAGATTTGTTGCTTTTGTATTTATGAATCTAACAACTGTAACAGTGTTCCATGGGTAAAAAGTATAGCCTTCTGTCCACTGGAAGATCTAGAGGTACTGAACTGAAAGATATTTAGCAGGTATTGCACATTGACCCAGGCGACCTTGACTGCAACAAGGAAATCAATCGGGAATGGAGGAGGCCAAAGTTGAAGGTTTCTTGGTTATCAGTAAAGCAAGTAAATGGCAGTCATCACATACAAAAGAGCAGCAGATATTCAAACCTCAATGTAGGTGTACTGAAGTATATTACTTAGCTGTAAATTCTTTTCTCTGGTTGAGGGTCATGCAACTGATTGAGAAAATGTCACTTGCTTCAAAAGGCCAGCGAAGGTAGAATAAAATGAGAGTAGTTTGACAAATTTGGAACACCAGTGGAATCAGTAGGTGTCCATTCCCCAAGGTTTTGTCTTTGTAGCAGGGGCTCACCATATCTCCTTTCCAAAGGATGACCCAGCTGTTAGAGGAACTCAAAATGCTAAAATTGTGTGATGGTACAGGAGGGAGCCATCAACACTTTTCTGGTGGTGTCCGCATCACAAAGATTATTTAATATCAGGTGCTTGTCATATTAATTAAAACAGGATGATGAAAATGGTCTGTGCTACATCTCCTTTGAACTACAATAGCTGCATTCTCCTAGAAACCCACAGCCACTGAAGTTGGTAAAGGGCTTTGGGGAAAAGGCAGAAGGCCTCATACAGTGTTCAAAATTGTTGAGCTTGTGCCCAAAGGATAATAGGCACTCACTCCTCTCTCACTCCTTCATCAGCCCTGCCTGTCCCTTACCAACTCTTCCATGACTCCCAGTACCTCACATCACCCCTAGGGCCACCAGCCCTTACCCAGCAGTGCTGTAGCAGGGCAAGTCTCTAGCTCCCATGAGTATCCATGCTCTTAAGACTGTTAGCACAAACCCTAGCACGGTTTCAGTATGCCTCTAGACAATATCTGGCATTGCTCAGAACAAGAACAGGTAAGAGTTCTTTCCCAGACAGCATTTGGGGTGCAACCATCCAGCTTAGGGAAATGAAAGGAGCAGTTAAGCAGCTTGGTGTCACATATGCTGCACTGCCTCAGGGTCATAAAATAACTCCAGGCTCATTTTATCTATTTTCATAGGCTGCTTTTGAGTCTATGGTTGGATGCTAAGGTTACCTTTGTGCTAGGAAACAAAACAGATCACAAATTATTCTTTGAACCTGAAGATCACAAGCTACAACACAGATGTTGTCCATATAACTCAATGTTCTCTCTGTATAAAACATGGTGGTGGCATGCATATGCCACCCAGCTAGGAACAGACTCAAGCACTGTCTCAGAGAGCAATACGTCAAAAAACTGCCTGAGAGAGTATGGTAGCTTTAAACAACTTGGATGATCAGAATCAACTGCTTAAATGCTGGCCCTCTTTAATTTACTAGGTTAGGCAGAGCCTCAGAGGTCAACTATAGTCTCTGATTTTTTAATTGCTTCTAAACACTACGGTGTTTGGAATCATGCATACATTGCTAGGATTTTCTTGCTTTTTCTTCTTGTTACTCATTGTGACTCAATACAGGTTGGCATAATCCTTGTCTATAAATTGATTAATAATGGGATGCCCAGGCAACCACCAACCAACGTGTCAGCAAAGTATGGATTTATAAGGTGGCGTTATAAAATTTTATATTTTTATCTGTAACTCCCATTTTGAGGAAGCAAAACTTGTGCTTTGCTTTTTCTTTTTGATGGCTCCTGAGCAGAGAGCTGGTGTTTTCATGGAACTATTTATCACAATACCAAAATCTCACTTCTGAGTATTAATGGTCATCCCAAAGCCCATCATTCTACATGAGAAATTAGGATAATTTCTTCTGTAAATGTGCAGCATTTTTAATTTTTCTACATTGAGTTTTATGTCATTTTACTGCCTAGCCTCACAGGGTTTGTTTTCAGTTCTTCACAGTCAACTGTCCTCCATGCTACAATTAGTACTGTATTCTATTACAAAAAAAAACAAAACAAAAAAAAAAAAAACACAAAAAAACAACAACAACAAAAATTTCATCTGAGTGTTCACACCTTTTCTAGAACACTTAAATATAATTTTTTTTTTTACCGTTCAGGTCCCAGGAGAGACCCTCCCAGACTCCATGGGCAACACTCCAAGGCCAGGGATGTATACCAGCTTCCCTTGGGACAATGATCTTCACTCTCTATCCTTAGGCCTCGAGATTCAGCTAAGTTCAGGATCTGGCCCACAGTCCTATCATGAAGTATACTGTGAGTAATCCTGTAGGCAGCCCTGTTCCCTGCTACTCCTGACTGTCCCTCTGACATTGTCTTACCTTCTCTGACTGTGACCAGAGTGTTGATGAAAGATGCCACCTCCAACAGCTCCAGGTCATGGACCAGCATTGCACTTGCGACTACCTGACTGAAATAAGACAGGAATGTAAGTTAGGTTTGCTAACAAAAGTGATATCATAATGCTGTATGAATGCGAGAATGGAAGAAAATAAATGAGAATGCTAGGGTATAAATGTTAAATGATGAGAACACAGTAAACAGTTTAACTGCATCCAGAAAGAATATAGGAATTTGTGTATTTCTAATTGTCTTGCTTTAGTAGGAAATTTAGTACTGCTAATTCAGAGAGAAAACAGTGGGGCTTTAATCTGCTTTAGAATGAGATCAAAGTTGTCAGAGCAGAGCAGAAAATAAGAATGAGAAAATTCAATTATAACCATGTAGCCGGAAGAAATGTCATAGTGAGGAATGATATAGTTTTAAATATCATGAATGACTACTTGTTAAACTTCCTAGTCAGAAAACCCACAAGCGAAGGAGCAATTTGGCTCAAGCTTGAGTGGATGAGATGTGGTTTTCAAGGTTACTTTTGAAGACTTGCTCTGTAATTATGACTACTATATATTCAAATTTAGCATTCTTTGCAAGAATGAAGCAGATTTAATTTCAAAAAAGAGAACATAAAAACAAAGAAGCTTGTTAAAAACAAATTGAAAGGAACACAGAAGAATAAAATACTTGCAGACAATCTTGAGATTATTTAAAGAAACTAAAATTGAGTTTCACTCTAAAAAATAACTACAAAAAAAAAAAAGATGCAAAAAAGTCAGAACCAATAAAATAACAGAATAAAGAAAGGTGGTAAAAGTTAAAAAGTCTTCCTTTAAAAAGCAGAAATCTTATCTGAAAAGGGTTACAAAATAAAGACCAAACATTGACATAAATCAAATGTAAAACCGCAAATGGCAGATGGAAAAAAAAAAAAAAAAAAAAAAAAAAAGAAGAAGATTAACTTCGGCAAATAAAACCTTTCTTGCTCCCTTGTGGAAAATGTGTAGAGTCTGAGCATAGAAAAGTTAAAATCCATGGGGAAAAAAAAAAAAAAAAAAAAAGTTATTTGAATTATTTTTATCAATTTTCACTCAAGAAGAATCTAGATTTACAGCCACTTTCCTGATAAAAGGTTTTTTGCAACCATCAAATAGAACAAACTGATAAAATAAATTCAAAGGAATCACTTGAGCTCCACTACATTTAACATCAAGTGGTATAGTAGTGAAAGTGTGAAGCTACCTCATCATTACCGTAGTTGTAATCTACTTACTAACCCTGTCTCAGTGCCAAAGAAATAGACTAACAAGTGAAAAGAATCTTCTTAAAGGGGAAATGAGAGAGGTTGCAAGTAACTTACTACAGAAAATGTGAGTGCTATGCAGGTAATATAGATAGAAACTACAGAAAATAATAAATCTGCTCAACACAGGATGTCCTAGTTATACTGGAGCAGCTTTTGTAGCACAAAGTAAAGGCTCAGATGCGTAACTATTCAGATTCATTGAAAGTTCAACAGGTGTATTGATAAAGTTTCTTGAATTTTCCTGAAATCTTTTGACAAGTCATCTCTCCATCAAAACATAAGAAACTAACAAGTCCTGATATAAGAAAGAAAGATTTCTTTTTTATTTACAATTAAGTGATATAAAATAAAATACAAAATGTATTAAAATACTTTATTTATTACTCAGAAGTCCATCAATATTTTAGAAGTAAACTGTTCAATACATTCATATTAGAACTACTAGATGGTATCAATAGTGAATTTGGAGATGATATAAAATTACCCAGGATAGTGAAAATGAAAACTTTCTTTACATAAGAGTTATGTTGTATTTCATGATTGTGCAAGAAAATAGCAGATGAAAGTCAATATAAATAAGAGCAAAGTAATAAATATTTAATGACTAGGTCTAAATTAATTATTGCCCCTGAAAGAGATTATAGAATCATATAATTATTTATATTGGAAAAGACCTTTAAGATCACCTAGCCCGACCACCAACTTAATGCTATCAAATTCACTATTAAACCATGTCCCTTAGTATCACTTCTTCATGTCTTTAGAAGACTCCCAGTATGGGGACACTGCCACTGCCCTGGGCAGCCTCTTTCAATGCTCAGCCATCCTATATCCAAGGTAAACCTCTTCTGTCAGAGCTTGAAGCCACATCCTCTTGTCCTGTCATTTGTCACCTGAGGAAACAGACTGACACTCTCCTCATTATAACGTCTTTTCAGATAGTTGTAGAGAGCAGTGAGGTCTCCTCTCAACATTCCCTTCTCCAAATTTAGCAACTCCAGTTTCCTCAGACAATCTTCATGTGTGTTGACCCTCCACCAGCTTTGTAGCTCTTCTTTGAAAGGGTTTCAGCATCTCAATATATTTATCGCAGTGAAGGGTCCAAAAACACAGTACTCACCAGTGCTGAGTACTGAGGGATAATCACTTGCCTAGTTCTGCTAGCCAAACAATTTCTGATGTAGGCCAGGACCTTTGGTCTTCTTGGCCACCTGGGCACATTGCTGGCTTACATTCAGACAGCTACTGACCAGCACCCAGGGCCTTTTCTGCCATGCAGCCTTCCAGCTACTCTTCACTAAGCCCACACTGTTGCAATGGATTTCAATTTAGGTATCAACTCAGTGTTCAGGGATGAAAACGATAAATGGAGGCTCCACTCTTGCAGAGGGAACAGAGAATATAGCAGAAATCTTCCATCTTACTACTGTAAAAATACAAATGCCACATGCAGATCTGGTCTTCCACCTTCTCCAGCCTGACAACACAATATTGGAAAAGACATGGTAGAGTGACAAGGCTGGCCATCCCACACATTCTGTGTGAGAAGACATGAAACATATTAGGACTTTCATCTAGGAAAGTGACTGCATCTTTTCTACAGAAAGATGAACAGGAAATTATGATTGTGTATTTCTTACGATGAAAGAACAGAGTGCAGAGTGAGATGAGTAGGTAGCAATTTCAAATCAACAAAAGGAATTTCACAGAGAGCTACAGTCTACTGAGCTTTTTTTTTGCAACATGAATATGTGGATATCGAAGGCCTAAATGGGCAAAAAAAGTGACTAAACCAACTAATGGAAAAAGAAAGAAAATGTCAAAGGTTATACACTTGTGCTCTGACATCCAGTATAAGATGTCCTCTTTTTTACTGGACAGAATGAATGTGTACCCTGGGGAATGTACTGATATCCTCTTATTGTACGCCTTCTAATCATCCATTCCTATCCCCCAAAACAGAAATCTGGAATAAACATACCATTGTTCTTCTTGTATAATGACTGCACTGCTGCCCCCAAAATACAGGCACAAAGACATTTAAGAAAATGAAGACAGGTGAGTTGAAATGTATGACAGCACTTTTTTTAAGATCTGCTATACTGAACACTGACATGATTGCTATAGAGCAGTTCTACAGTTTGACCTTTTGTGACTAATCTCAGTTTATAAATATTGTTAAATTACTGAAATGTAATACATTCAATTTCTATTTTCCAGCCTTCAGATTACTAACAATTACCAAGCTTAGACACAAGGACAAGATTTTGAGATACTCAGCCTTCCCAAACCCTTCACCCCAAAAGAGCTCTAAAAGCCCCTTATGAAATAATGATTTTATGATTAAAAGATCACGTTGTATTATCTAAAAAACTGTTAGCTTAATACTACTGAAGATACAGAATTTCCCTGGATGGTCTAACAGACTGAAGAAGGTTAAAAATTTTGGTTATTGGAAAGATACTTGCTTTTTTTTTTTTTTTTTTTTTTTGGAAGGGGCATTGGGGGGAAGTTTTGAGGCTGTGAACTCAGTGGAAAGTGACAGATGCTCACAATTTCTCACTAAAAGGGAGAACAGGATTCAAGAGTTAAGTCAGTGTTCTATAAATACTGCAGAAAATGACATTTCCATTTTTATGGTATGCAAATCAAAAGGTCAAGGCTGAATGCTTGTTTTCATTTCTCTGAAGTGTCTGTTCTGTCTATGCTATTTCACAGCAGCTGTGTTTCCGTCTATAATGTGTATTGCTGTAAAACAATAGTTACATGGTGGGACGTAGGTGGAACCCTGCTTTGAGGCTTTGCAGGGTGATTGTGTTTCAAATCAGCCTTGCTGTCACATCATGGAAACAAACTTTAGAAGGAAGACAAAGGAAATGTGAAAAAAGTGCAGATGCAGGGTTGTAGTTGAAAACATTTATATAAATGCTAAATAGAATAACCTAATGGAGATGTGCTACTGTTAGTGCTAACAGCATCTTCAGTCTATTATATTTAGAAGGATCATAACCAAGTGGTCCCCAGTTTCAGCAGGGACTTGTCAGTGCTTTCTCTTATCCTCACAGAAGGAGAAAGAAGCAAGGAAGCAAAATAAATGTCTAAATAAACTGCCTAAGGATGTTGTCTTTGCAATATTTATAGTCTTCAAAACTGCAGTGAGAGCAGCATCATTCAGGTTATGAGCACAGTAAATAAAGTATTTAGTGGTATGATCAATTCTGGGAAGAGCAACAACTTTATGAAGAAGTAACTATAATCAAATCTTCTGAATAGACAAAGCGTCCTGAAAACACTTTTAGGCCCATCTTTCAATTCTAATTAAACACAGTAGGGCTGTCATTGATACCAAGAAAGAGTTGCTGCTGGCTTAAATTTACTTCCACTCACATTTAAGAAGATATCTTTATCCTGTGGCCTGCATCCAAATACTGAGTATTAAATCCCCTGGTGTCACTTTTAACTGATAGCCTGCAATTAGTGTTTGATGGCCCATTGATGCATTATGCAGTTCCTCCTTCTGAGAGAGTTTTCTCTTTCTTTAATTTGCCAAGATTGGTAGAATTATGTTCTAATCTCCTGACTTCATCCAATTCATTTTGAAACATAATGTTTTTCAATTAAATCTCCCATTGGGAACTCATTCAGTGCCATCACACCAGCAAAGTCAGGTTGCCTTGATTAATTACTAGCACTCTCCCTTCTTCAGAAATGGTCAGTAAGAGTTCAAGTAGCTGAAAAGCTTTAGTAAAGTTACTAAGTAAATCAGTGTTTTATGTCATTCCAAACCTGAAGCTTCAAAGAAATCTACAAACTGAAGAAAGAAGGCAGAAGATTACGGAGGACCAGGATTTAAAAATGAAAGTATGCAATGTTTAGAGCTAATTCAATTCCCATGCTAATAAAGCCAGTTCACTCAGGTAATAGAATTCATCAGAGGATGAGTTTAGGAATCAAATTACACTTCCAGTGCTGGAGATGCAAAACAGCTGCCAGATTTACAGTTCCTAGAAAAAGGAGCTGTACCTTAAATACTCATAAGTTATCACAGAAGAAACTCACACTCATGGTAGAGATTAAACTCAGTGTTTTTCAGTCTCATGAGACCTACAGCAGGGACTGTGGTAGGAGAGCACCTATTCTAGTTCCATATTTGGAAACAGAACTTCACACATAGACCAAAGTTTGCAAATTTTTTTCCCAACTGAAATTCAGCTTGATATCATTTACCTACAGCATTATCAGTGTGAAAAGCTTAGGGTTAATGATTAATGAAGGAAATAATCTTAAAACCACAATTCTCATGAGAAAAAAGGAAAGTAATTGAAGGTAATTTTTCCCAAACTTTGTCTCTTTTTTTTTTTTTTTTTTGGTATGCAATTTGCAACCAAACTGGTTATGACTTGGAATAATTATTTTCATTTATCTTAAAATATAAACTAAGATACAAACATAAACATTGATATATTTATTTTTAATAATTCTTTAATTATTTATATATATTCCACCACAACCATTAGCTTAAGAAGACTGCGGTGCCTTAAGACTGATTCCTGCTCAGTAGATTACAGGACCAACAGGCATTTTACTGCTAGAGATAGTAATTAAGATGTCAAGAATGTTAACTTGCTGCAATAAATATTGCTTTTATTACTACATCTATTGTACCTATTTTAAATTAATTCTTAACTTGGCCTATTTTCTAAACCATTTAACTGTAACAGAGTAGACAAAGGCCTCTTGCCAGGAATTAGTTGAAATCTTCTTTCCAACCCGCGGTAGGCATGGAGAAGGGCAGAGTGAATTCCACATAGGCCTTGGAACATTATTTCTGTTCTTATCAGTTAAGGCAGTGAATATTTATTGAGGTATGAAGATTTATTTCAGTGTACAATCCAAGAATGAGCCACATTTTATAAAACTGACCTTCAGTAGCTTCGGAAGATGAACTGACACACCAAATGAACTTTTACCTCCAGCCATCTCACTGTTGACACATCTTTGTTAGCTGCCCTATCTCAAACATAAATCTTTTCTTTGACAGGATATGAGCAGAAATACAATCAGGAATAAAAAATAGCCATTAACTGGGAGTCACTGGAAGATTCAAAAAAGAGAACAAGTATGTTTGAAGCAGCCCATCCACAGGCAGTTTTACTTTCCAGTTCAGTCTCTCTTACAGCACACTGGAGCTCAGACAAATGACCATAATGCAGTTTACCTCAACTAAGCCAGTAGTCAATGTCTACCTAAGAATACACCTTTTACCAGCAGCAACATAAGTTAATTAAAATTCTTAGGGCTTCAGTGAAATCAGATAAACCCAAATAAAATTACATTCCATTTAACACAATTGCATGCATCACATTTTGCCATCACTAAATCATGAGCATAAAAAAGAATATTTACTCCTCAGAAGACAGCTGTACAACTTTGCTGAAAGTTTGGGTCTTCAGAGACTTCAGACAAACCCAAGTCTCCACTATGTACCCTGCAAACCTCACCAGCATTCTTTCTCTTTTTCCTAGATGCCCCACATCCATCTTATAACCAACTGTTATTCATCCCGATATACTAACTTGCATCTTCCTGGCTTGTTGGGACTGAGAAATAATGTATCATAGAATCACAGAATTATGGAATACTTTGAATTGGAAGGAACCTTCAGATGTCTCCAAGTTCCACCCCTCTGCAATTAACAGGGACATGCACAGCTAGATCACGTTGCTCAGAGCCCTGTCCAGCCTGGCCTTGAATGTCTCCAGAAACAGGGCATCTATCACATCTCTAGGCAACTTGTTCCAGAGCAATGGCTCTTGATCATTAGGAGTAAACGGGAGAGATGCAAGGAATGCGAAGGTCTGGCTCAGCACAGCATAACAAGACTCCTGGACATCCATAGAGAACCTTCTGTTTGTGCAGCAGGCAGCAAGCAAATCTCTGACATTGCCTCAAATATTCTTAGCAATGGGAGCAAACACTGCCTCTGGGCTCCAGCAGGTCCCATACACAACCCAGCCAGTTTAAAGACAGGCTTGCTCTAATTTATCTCCTCTTGAGGTGTAAAGTATACAAGTAATTACAATCAGACTTTGATAAAAAGTTTTGTGTATGTCCATTATTGTTGTACTGTTGTATTGTTGACCCAAAACTCTAGGCTCTGATACTTCCTGAAATGAACTCTTCTTTGATGGCAGAGATGAAATTTGCAGTCTAATTTGGTAAATGCTTATTTAAATTTGTGCAGTTACAGAGATGTACCTAGTACAATAAAATTAAATACTTGAAAAAAGAAAAACCTAATCCATTTGTTTTTCTTAAGTGTCCTTGCTATTTAGACATGATGGTATATTTCACTAAAAACAACCTTTTCAAAAAAAGCTGTAATTATCTTGAAATACTTTTTCTGATGTATGATAAGGAGTGGATTATTTTGAAAATGGGATATTGGCTTCATTTGTGTAACAAATCCAACTCACTATTCAACTGTCTTTGGTTTTGCTTATTGTATGCCTAGTAAAAGAGAGCATTGCCCTCTTTAGAAGAACTTGATTTTATGATTTATCAGGAGCATTTAACTCCCACTGAGGTCAAAACTATCACACCAGCAATATCTTAAAGGGTAATGGAACAGTTCTGTGAAGGCCTTGCTGCATTAATGGCTTGTAAAACAGGAAAACTTTCATCAAATTATAAGTCTCTTTGGTCAGCTTTTTCAGCTGCATTCTGCCATTCTATCTCTGGGGAGTTAGGTTCACCTCTATCATAGGCAAAGTACAGATAGATTTATTCTGCTGATTTTTTCTGCTAGCCTGAAGAGCAAAGAATGGTTTTCACCTTTCTTAGAAACCACAAAAGAGCTGGTGGTGATTCTAATACAGCAAAATCACATGCTGATATGCCATCACAAAAGCCTGGTAGATCACTGGTTCTGAACTACATAAGCATAAGGAACAGAGGAGTGATAATGCAAACTGCCCAGATACTCCTTGTTCCACATTATTCACCACTTACACTGCTTTCAGAAGATGTAATTCTTCTATTCCTCTCTGACAGACTGATAACCAGGCTTGGTTTTGAACAGCCTGGGAATGAGGTGGTAGTGTTGGACCACCAAACTGAGCTCCCACAGAGATCATGAAAAGTGTTGAGCCATGATTCTTCATGTAGGAACAGAACAAACAAAACCCACTGACATTAGTTCCAGCATTTGCTAATTTGATACCTCTGCTTTCTGCCATAACAAATCCAGGCCCTATGGGTTTTTGCTGCACTTTCCTCATCCCAGTGACATTTTTCACTTACTGCCAGGCAACTATTCACAGCATCTTTATTGTTTCTGCTCCAAGGGCAAGTTGCAGTGGGGTCATTGTCAGACTAGTATCCTCATTCCCAATTTAAATACAGAAGATTGTTTAGAACAAGCTAACTCAGCTTTATTAACAGAAATTTATTTTCATTAAGATCTTTCTAATTTTGATCTTCAAACTGACAGCCAAGTAAATGACGAGTATTTAGAGACTGTGGAATTGGTTACAAGCACTGTGTCACCTCTCTTGTGAAAAAACATATATAAAAAGAGCACAAATTACCAGGGCCTAAATATCTGCCACTGAAAAAGCATCTCACACTGATAAAGGATAATACTGTAATAGACACAGTCCCAGAAAGGTGAGGAAGGTGAACTTAATAGGTGTGAGCTCAGCAGAGTGATGTATTTTATGTCCACTGCTGAGGTGTAAGGACATTCCTGAAGCACTCCTTCCTCCCACGCCTGCAGCTCTGTGCTGTGTCAGTGCTCACGCAACTAAGGGTGACATTTTTCTCCTGTATAATTCAGCTGTTATGTTTCAAATCCCATCATTTGGAAAGAAAGGGGAAAACAAACAAACAAACAAAAACACATGATATAAATATCAAATAATTTGGGATAAAGAACATAGAATGGAGATAGGATATAACCAACACAGAGGCTGTTCAAGCTATCTTATCACTGTGATCAGATCATTTTCAGGTCTGAAGATTCTCTCCTTGCTGTGGAAAGGCTTGCACATGCCAATGCACATAAGAGAGGCAGAACCCAACAAGCCTCAACCCTTCTGAAGGAAACTGCAGCTAGTTCTGTACCTTGTGCTAATGTGACAGGCAGCGGGACCTGGGTTGCTTCACAGCAACATATGATGAAAATACCATAACCCTTAAAGCTCAGAGGTTAGCCACAGGTTGTGCAGGGCTGCAAGAAAAATGTTACAGGGAACTGTCATGCTTTGCTTGCTTGATGGGAGGCCCCTTATCTGTAAGTGAAGGGCAAGTCACATGCAGCTCTCTCTCCAGATGTGAGTGAAAGAAGACCAGTTGTGTCTAACTCTCTGCTTCTCACCTTTCTGTACTGCTCTGGAGGTCTATATGGATGTCAGATGCTGTCAACCTATTTTAAACCTGTGTAAAAAGGTGCAAGCAACTGGAAATCAAGCACTGCGTTCAAGGCGAGGCATTGCCATAACGTCAACATCCTTTCTGCTTACAAGGCCCCACACACTCGTCTTGGTGGGGTTTTTAACTGTAGAAAAATCCTTCCTGTCTGAATGGGAAAATGTGGATAATAGCTCATGCAGGCATTGCACTCCCACATTCCCCTTTTCTCCATCACACAGTGACAGAAAACAACACAGATTTTGTACCAGTTGTACAGAGCTATACAAGTCCTAAAGCATAAGCACCGAATACTAAGACAGAAGTGCAGACCTCTTAAATTTCTATTTTCAAGGACCTTTTTCTCAAATGCTTCATTATTAGTCAGGAGTTTGGTGATGCTTATTATCCTCATCACAACACCTGTCTTTTGACAGTTCTAGCTCCTAATTTGTCCTTCAAGACAAGAGGGGGAGGAAGCTGTAGCAGATATATATATATTTACATACATATACAATTTAGGTAGCACTCTAGAGAACATATTGTAATGGCTGGAGCTAGCAGTATCTTGAGGAGGAGGAAGGCAAGTGCCCCTCATTAGAGATGCCAGTCAAGCAATAAAAACAGAAAAAGATAGGATACAGACTGAGGCACTAAGAGAATACAGTATATCAAAATAGCCTGCAGAAGTGATAGGCCAAGCTCACAACCATCTGATACTGACAGTTTATGAAAATATACCTGTCTGAAGTACATTTATCTTTCTCCCTTTATTTTTCTACTCCTCCATTTTAGTCATCTACTTAAGCTTCCTTCAGACCTTATACCTAGACTTTTGTAGTAAGAGTTTTATGATTACCAATCTCTTGATTACCCTACCACCTAACAAATAGGAACCCTTAAGAGCACTGCTATGTCCACCCCTCTACCAACACCTTTTCCCCACTTGCTTACAGAGAAGTCAAGCTCTTTACCCAGTTTTGCGGTCAAAAACAAAAACAAAAAAAACAGTGCTAATTTTAACTCTTCAGGAGAAGAGGGGAAACAAGGTCAGAGAATAGCAGTGTCTACTTAGTGGCTGAAATGTTTTGTCTTACCGTCTTACCATTATGTATACCTGGTTGTATATTACCAAATAGCTTTCGCCTGTATCAATGCAGCACTGGATACTGCCTTAGCTATGGCCGGCATTTTAAAGTGGAATTGTCAAATATCAGGAGTTCATACGAACACTTTTTTTTTTCTCCTTATTTTTATTCACAAAAACACCTAAGCTGACAGCCCACTGACTATGACATTTCACACTGGTTGTCATGGTTGGTGGTTTTACAGGAGATCCAGGAAGAGGGGCTTAGTGTCCGTGACTGTCAAACAGCTAAAAACAATAGGGTGCATGAACCTCAACATAGTCATCATAAGCAAGCACAACAAGTTTACGGAAAGAGGCTGCAGTCAGAAATGTCATCTTTCACACTTTCTGTAAATAACTACAGAATCATAGAGGAGAGCTTCTTTTTATCATTTTTTCCTGTTTGTAACTATAATGAATGAAGAGGGGCTACATTAGAAATACCTGCTCTTTTTTTTTCCCTGTTATCTGCCATTTTATTAGTCTCATAATCCAAATTTATTATATTTTTCAGAGAGAAAAAAAAAAGGGTCATCTTGGAAAAACAAAGAAAAAAAGCATTTAAATAAAACGAGGTAGCAAAGTTTCAGAAGTTGAATGCAGAAAGACTGAAAATATCATGAAAAATAAATTCAAATTTGAAGTAGAAGCGTAATCATACCACTTAAAATACACGCCTCATCATTTGGTTGAAACATTGCAAATACAAGCTGTAATAAGTGTAACAGTTAGGCTGTTCTTTCACAAGAGTACTGCAGTATGCCCTAACATAAAAACTGAGACAGTCCGCAAAGCTTAACCACTTGATTTCCTAAGTAACTGCCTTTTCTTTTAAAGACTTCAATTTGTTGGACCAGAAGGAAGTGGTAAGCCATAGGGCGATTGAAACCCACGAGCTGTCACCACAGTGGGAGCTGATGTCTGGTCAATAAAAAAAACATAGAGAGTAAAACAGAAAATGGGATAAACCAGGCAGATTGAGCACAGTCTTGCTCTTATTTGCCTGTGAATCATGTAAAGAGGTGATTTCATTGCATGTGAAAAGAAAAAAAGCGATGCTTAGGTGTAGCTTTTCACATATCCAAAGGACTGTGCAGGGTGTGCACATGTAATTGCCTCTTCATGTTCTTGGGAAATAACGTGATTACATCTCAACTGCTCAGATGGGGCAGTTATTTCTGGTGACCATGGATTGCAGGCATTTAGAGGGTAAAAAAGGCATCTGAAATGATACCCGTGCCATGCTCACTGGGGAAAGTTGGTGCCTTCTCTTCCTACAGAAGTGCTTACTGCCGCTTCTTATCCAAGGAGTTACCACAGAGCACACAAGCAAATTCTTCTGTATGCCTGCAGTGTACCAATATCCACTATAAATTTATTCTGTGAAAACAGCAATAAGCCCTCTGGAGTGGATGGCAAAGTCTACTTTTCTCTTTGTCTGATACAGTAAGAAAAAAATTGGTTTGTAAGGAGGAGACTTGACAGGTTAGATATATTAGGTCATAAAGCTAATTCCTTTGCCCAGTAGCTCTAGAAATGACTGCACTTTTATGAACGCCTATAACTATGAAAAAACAGTGAAAGATAATAAATGCAGTGTTGTCCTGGTCAGTGACAGAAACTTATAACAGACATTTCCAGGGCATTTACAAGCACAGCTAGCACTTCTGCAGCACTGATGGAAAGTGATGGAAATTTGGCAAATG